CTGTCGCATATTCATCGCACAATGCCTTCGCACAATTATGCAATTGATATGCGACAGTTTTTCGCATAACCTTCGCATATGGACAATTATACGATGAATATGCGACAGTTTTCGCATAACCTTCGCACAGTTATGCAATTGATATGCGACAGTTTTTCGCATAACCTTCGCATATGGACAGTTATGCGATGAATATGCGACAGTTTTCGCATAACCTTCGCACTTTTTGGGGTGAAAAACTTAGCTTTTTATTGGGCGGTGTGAAAAATTTAACAAGACTTCAAAACGGGGTGAAAATAGATATTTTCACAAAAAATTATGTGGTGATGGAACATACAGTAATGTTCTCCTACCCACGGTGTACACATGTTAATATGTTCATCGCTTATGTGGCATGCACACATTGGTGATGTAATTTTTTGAACATATTTTATTTTATTTATTATTTTATTTTTGTAGCCAGCCACGGTATCCGGAGCTATACCCCGACTAATCCGTTGGTCGACCCAGGTTGCACACCTGGCAGTGGTGGGTGAGTCTCCCAACAAAGGTTTTCTACATCCACAAGGACTCGAACCCGAAATCTTGCTTAAGCGACATATTAACATATTTATCACCAATGTGTGCATGCCACGTAAGCGGTGAGTATATTAACATGTGCCCACTGTGAGTAGGGGAGCATTGTCAATGGAACATAATTGTAAATTTTGGTAGTTGGTGGTAGGGCTGAGCATGGGACTCGGAGAATTCCGAACCGTTTCGAAACCGAACCAAAAAATAACCGTTGACCGTTTGACTTTCTCCGAACCGAACCGTACCGAAAAAATAATTGGTACGGTTCTGGAGATTTCACATATATCCGTACCGAGACCCGAACTGAACCGTCTCATACCGTACCGAACCGAATAACCGAAATTAAGAACTGAATTATAAAAATAGATGTGTGTTATTAATATATTTTATATCAACTTTGATCCTATATAATTTGAGAATTTTTAAAAAGTAAATAAAATATAGTAATAACAATTAAGTTATAGTTAATTTCATCCTTAGTAATACTTGATCTACAATTGAATTTTTCATGTTTTTAAAACAATATGTTTTTAAAATGGAATGAAATGTTAAAGAAATATTTTTTTAAAAAAAAAATATTCAAACTTTACATAAACTTGTGGAATACTTAGTCTTATTCTATCTTATAACTAACATTGTATGGAATGTTAAAGAAATATTATTTAAAAAAAAAATTTATTATATTTTTTTTGAATTTATATTTCAATGTTAGTTGCACAAATATACAGTTCATTAAAATTTATTTAAAAATAAAATCTTTAGTGTGATGAATGTTGGATTTAAAAAAAAAAAACATAAAAATTAAAATATATTAGGTGATCATTCAAAAAAAAAATTAAAAATACATAAAAATCTCCAAATATTCGAACCGAACCAAACTGAACCGAACCGTTTCGATAGTCCCGAATACCGAACCGAACCGAACCGAAAAATAATAATCTCCGAACCAAACCGAGCCGAATTTTTGGTACGGTTCCGAGATTAAATTTTAGCTCCGAATATCGGTACGGTTTCGGAGATTTGTCAATCTCCAAACCGTACCGACCTATGTTCAGTTGTTCACCCTTAGTTCGTGGTTGCATGAAGACGCATTTTTCAGTTTGGGAGTTTTTATGTAACCATTAGCGTTGTTTTAGTTTAAATATTCAGTAATTTATGCACAAGCTAATGGTGGCTTAAAAGTCAAATCAAAGTGCTCCATA